GCTGCACTTGACTGCATTCCTGTACATCAAATATCCAACATAAATATTAAAAGACATGGAAAAAGGTGAATGAGCTGGACGATAAGAACTAGAGAAATATGTCCACTAAAATACCTATGCAAAACATCTTGATGACAAGAACAACAATAACTCGTGACCGTGTCATCTTGCTTCCGCGAGAGATAGGAGAATATATTTTTACGATAAATCTTCTGTTGCCTCCTCTGCAGTTTTGACAACACATCGACAGGCTTGTCTTTCTCCAGTTTTTCTTCATATTCTTTAATCAGATATAATGGGATGCGTGTCTCAGAAAACCAGTATCTTTCCTTCCCATCATCAAGTAATTGCTCTACTTCTGCTATATTTTTCATGAGACGAGAGGGTAGGTGCTTCTGGCTACCAAAAGCAACGCAATATCTCATTTCATGTCCCACGATCTTCTTCTCGCAAATCAAAGCATTTCTAAAAGCAGAAGCTTCTGTTTCAGGACCTTTTCCATCAGCAGGGTTCTGTTCTTGGCGAACTAGATCACTCCACCTCACATGAAGGTCAAAGTATCGAACCTGATGCAAGTGCCCATTGTTGTATTAGTGAAATACAATAAAGTATTATCGTAGACCATGATTGCTACCTGCATTGAATGTTCACCCAAAAAGAACCAAGGTAAAATACACAAACGCGTAAAAAACACACACCTGAAGAGCAAGCTGTGCTATATTCCTACTCATTTCAACTGCTGCGCGCCAGAGAAGCTGCCTGCTACATTTAGGAGTCTCATTCCCTCCAACATAATGTATTCCGGGTATCTTTTTCAAGCCACCTGCTATGTGTATAGCTGGTCAGTAATGACTTTCGCACTTCACAAAATCATACACAAAAAGTAGAAAACAACCTTCATCAAATAGAGAACATAATTAGCATTGGGCTTCTGTGCAGAAATAAGAAAAAACCATTTTGTAAATTACCTTGACGAGCTGCTTTTCTAACCATTGAACATGGAAGTATCCCTCTTTGGAACATAAGCTTTGACGTGGTACCTCCTCTCCACCAGGTGAAATCAGTCAACACATCCTGGCAATCATCAGTTGCAACTTCCACCACAGCAGAAGGTTTCCGGCCACGCCTCCCTGGTTTACGCTTCTGAGTTGATCCAGCAGCATTTGCAGCAATCTGACAGGTAGAAGATTGAGTTGAGCAACCATCAACAAGCTTCATCCAATCTCCCGAGAGAGCAATGGTCCGTACATTCTCCTCAAGCTGTAAACGCAAGCACGGTTATGCATTTGGAAGCATCTAGTATAAAACAAGCATAAAGAATCTGACTAATTCAGAGCAACATAGTTGTCTTATCAGAAAACAATCTCAAAACCCGCATACAAGTATCTTTAAATATGCTAAATCTTTTCAAATTAGATGAAGTAATTATGATTTCAAAAGGCAAATCATGGAAATATAGACATGCAAGCAAGCACAAGCAAGATTACCTCAGGGACACGAGACAGTGATACATCTTTAACAAAAATAGAACTTATGTAACTAAAGCAACTGCGTAAATAAATTTATTCAGGATGATCAACAACTTGGTCATGGAAAATTGGAAAAGAGCTGAAAGCACGATCAACTACAGAGGAAAAAAAAAAGAATGCTTACTTCAAGCAAAAGGATCTTTATTGCAGTGCAAGTAGTAGCCTGTTCAACTTGTTTACGCCATCTTTTTCTGAAAGTGTCATTAAGGAAGGGTCCAACAAGTAGAGAACTTAAGCTCTCCTCGATAAACATAACGTATGTTGCAATGCCAGGAAGTCTCCCATCCCCAGTCTTCAAAGAACGAACACTAGAAAGAACCTTCACAGCCCCTTTGGTGGCATTTAAAGCAGCGGCATTTAACAAGCATCCTCTCTTGCTTGAGACAGCAGCCTTACAAGAAAAACACCAGCTACATCTTTCTCTTGGAATCTCAACAAGCTTCTTCTCGGAAGCTGGCCAGAGAAATCTCATAGCTGCTGAAGAGAATGCTTTTACCTGAAGTGCAATGTTGTCAGACATAAATTTTCGGCGATTAGCTGAAGAACGAGACCCGGGAACTTGATTTTCTTCAGATGAAAGAATAGCCAAATTAGCAGCTGCAGAAGCAGCAAAATCTCCATTCAAATAATTATTTATATAGCCAGTTGTCTTGAAGGAAGAGCCCACGTATAAGAATCCACCATATGGATTTCCATAAGACTTTCTCCCAGCCATATCATTGAGTTCCAGGCATGGAAGAGGCGTTTTGGCTTCTCGAGGAGCACCATTATTTGGATCACTGTAACTAATGTTGCAGTTTCTTTTTGTGTAGGGAACAGTTGCTATCACACTTGAAGTACTTTGTTGGCTTAACTCATTGATATCAGCAGGCTGGCCTTTCAAACCACTAAATGCGGCAAGATCAACCAATGTTGTGTTCATAACGGAAGGAGTTTGTTGTCTAGTGGAACCTGTGTTT